CCATCCACAGCAACCCTGGAACAAGGGGAGGGAAAAGAGGATGTTTCCCAATAAAGCAGCCGTGCCCCAGGACATCAGCATCCTTCCCCAGTGCCTTCCTCCTCCTCCTCTCCCCTGTTAAACCTGGTTCTAGCTGAAGGGGACATGGAGCCAGCCAGGGAGAACCATTGATGGGAGCAGCCTGGGGGCATAGAGGCCCTTCTGACTGCTGCCACCAAGGGACAGAGCAAAGGAGTACGGTGACAGCCCTTTCCTGCCATCCCACTGCGGCTCATCCAGCCCTGGGAGCGTGGAGCCATCAGGTGGCTCAGCCGGTGGTTTCCAGTGTCCCTTCAGAAGGGAAACCAGAAGAACATCAAAGCTTTCTGGAGAATCCCAAGAGCAGGTTCTGTCTTGTTTTACTTCCCCAGGATTAGACACCAAGCTCGGCCAGGCTGCTGCAGCAGGAAAGCTTTCTGTTCTCAGCTGGGGAGGTTGGGTGGGGGGCTTGGTGGGTTTGGGTTTTTTTGTCAAGCCAAGAGGGTCAGGATAACCATAAAAAGTAAAAGATCACAGAATCCCAGACTGATTTGGGCTGGAAGGGACCTTAAAGCCCACCCAGTGCCACCCCCTGCCATGGGCAGGGACACCTTCCACTAGCCCAGGTTGCTCCAAGCCTCATCCAGCCTGGCCTTGGACACTTCCAGGGATGGGGCATCCACAGCTTCTCTTGGCAACCTGTCCCAGTGCCTCCCCACCCTCTCCAGGAAGAATTCCTTCCTGATGTCCCAACTCCATCTCTCTCTTTGCATTTAAACCTGTTACTCCGTGTCCTGTCACTCCCTGCCCTTGGAAAAAGTCCCCCCCAGCTGTCTTGCAGGCCCCTAAGGTACACACAGGCCTGAGATAACATAAAGTTACACTGGGTGTAACTCATAAAATGTCTCAGATTAAGGCATGGGAAAGGGAAGCAGCAGTGGTCTGTAGGTGGGAAGGTTTTCCTAAAGGAAATAGAGCTACCTGCCAAACCGCAGGCGAGAAAGCCGCCTCTGTGCACATGAGACAAAAGGCACCCTCACGTCTGCCAATAACCCAGACAGGGCATCTTTAAACTCCTACCTGGCATAAAACCCTCTGGAAACCTGGTTTCTCACACATTTTTATCTTCTTGCCTTGCAGAATCTGAAGCAAAGCAGGGGCACGGTCGCAGCACAAAGCCATCATCACGGGGTGGTGGGAGGTGATTACAGCGAGAGAGGCCTTGTCCCGAGACCTCGCTGACGGGCCGCCGTCATTGCACAAGCTCCTCTCTACGTAAAGGAAGTGACAAGCAGCAAGAGGAAGGAAAAACCAAAACCGAGGCAAAATAAAATCTTGCCCGTGCAATGGTGAAATCCAAGCAGCAGAGCTCCCAGATTTACATGGGGCACGGAATGGCCCTTCGAAACCACAGAAATGGGCTTAAAACTGGTTTGCAAGGACCAGAATCTGCCCAGCGCCAGGGCGGACTCTAAACAAGTGAGATAGTTGAACTGGTGCTCTGTCTCCCAGCGCTCTCAAGTTCAAATATATTCCTCCCCCTGGGTAGGGTCGTACCCAGGCTCTGAGCAAGCGCAGGGTGAAATGTGAAATTCTTCTGGTTAATGCGAAGCCACAGACCTCGAAGCCAGCACGAGCCCGGAGAGCTGGAATAATTCTGCTGGAGGGGAGAAAACAATTACTGCATTACTCAAGCTGATATTTCCTCGGTAATTACACCGTTTCCGTGTGATTTGTGTTTATACACAGCTAAGGGCTACTGTAGCTCCTGTTTATCCCTGGCCTTGTTATTATGTGATTTGTATGGTACCGACGGTGGGTGCGCGGGGGGCAGAGGCTGCGGAAACCTTCTCGCGGCAAGGGGAGATGCTGGCACTGAAGAAAACAATTATCACCCAGGAGCCTGTCAGAGAGCAAGGCCAGGCTTGGGGGTGGGCTGCTTCTACACGCTGTGACTGCCAACACGGATAACGTTACCGGAGCAAGGCCGCTCCGCGCTGCTAGGCAGCGGCTTCAAGAGCATGGGAGAAAGAAGGAAAAGGATAAGCCTGTCGATGCCCTGAAGAGCAGATAAATCTCCGGGTAAATCCAAGTCCCTGCCCACAGACACACCAGCAGCTGGATCCACGAGAGAAAAGGCAAGGGGAACCCCAATCCTGGTCCCCCTGCACCATCGCCTCCTCCTTGTTCTGCTTTACCAATCCCACTCGCAATGCTCCTCGGGAGCTCGCAGGAGTCAGAGGGATGGAGAAGGGCAGCCGTGCCGTGCATCAGCCCAGCACCCACAGCTGGATGCAGCCCAGCCGCCGTGATGGGTGATTTTTCTCAGGTGCTTCCCAGCCTCAGGAGGCAGCAGAGCAGTGGCTCCCCTCCATCCGCACTCACGTCTTGCTGCAAAGTGCGTTTTGACCTTCTGATGCCCCAAGTGCACCTTGAGAACTGCATCGGTGGAGCTACGAAGCCCCCACACACTCCCTCCCAATCCACGTCTATTCAGCATCGATGCATCCCAAGCAACCGGAGCTGCTGGGTTGACCATCAGGATCTCCAGCACGGCACCGCAGTGTTTGCCCTATATCTTGTCTTCGGTAAGCCCTGGTCGCCCTCCGCCTTTCTAAACCAGGTCATTAGTGATGCTCCCCCCCAAGCCCAGGATGGAGATTCGGGAATGCCGGACGTCACCTCTTCCGCAGTTCATCCACTTCCTAATTACCAGCCGCCAGCAGCGCTTGCTGCCGCAGCACCGGGAGGGATTAAGAGGCAATCTCTCCCGTTCCTGCCCGCTGGCACATCTCGTGTGCCCGCGGTCAGAATGGACCTGAACTGCTCCAACTGTGCTCAAATCAACTCCCCCTGCAAAAAAGCCATGAGCCAAGGGTGGGCTTCGGACCAGGGTGGCCTGCCTGCGAGGATGCCTCCGTCACCAGAGCCCGTCACAGCAGCACAGAGCCAGTCAACGTTGCTGAACTCCACCAAGGAATAACGCTCTCAAAATCCCATCCGTGTAGCGCGGCAGACAGCAGCTCGTCCTCCCCATCCAGACCCCCTGGCCCAGCCTCATCGCACACCCCAGCACACACAGAGCTCCAGGGCGCTCCCACACACTCAGGACGACATCCCACACCTCCATCTGTCAGGTTTTAAGGTAAAACCATGTGTATAAAACTCCTAAAAGGGCCAAACACACACCAAAGGATTTTTTTTTCTTTGGAAGTGTCCCACGCTTCCCAGCATAGCGGCCCCAAGACAACAGCCCTGACAGGGGGTGGAAAAGTCAAAAGGGCTGAAAACCCTGAACTCGCACATGGCCCGGGGGCAACGCGTGAGTCCCGTTGGAGAGGCGGAGTGGGGAAAAGTACACGGAGTTCCAATGTGCCCGAGGGATGCCAGCATGGGACCCAGGCATCGCC